CTCTCACACCTACCCTATCCACTCTCACACCCGTCCCACCAAATCCCTTTGTCGTCCCACTTTGTGATTGTACTAATCACTGACTAAACTACTGAAATTCACTTCCATTCCATATGCTTCCACACCTACAGGTTTATACAGTGGAACCCCGCCCTACGGCCACCTTGTTAATACGGTCAATTTATTCTGATCCAAACAAAAGCTCAATATGGCCACCCCGTTAATACAGCCAGATTTTTGTGGCCCATTGGTGGCCGGTTTAACAGGGTTCCACTGTACCACTGAGCTGATACATCTCAGATCCCACTGACCCACATACCCTGTTCCCTAGCCAATGATCTTCACACTCATCCCCCCTGACCAACTAACCTTTAAATCTATCACACTGAATGCTCCCCCCCCACACACACAAAAAAGATCGCTGATCCATTCTCTTCCTTATCCTTGAAAGTTTCAGTGCATCAAGTGTAGTAATAAGTGATTGTATTTGACATAAAGAAGAATTTGCAGCTACAGAAAATATCCATATCTGCCTCAAGGAATATTACAAGAAATTCCAAGGGGGAGTGGGGTTTCAAAAGCCAAAATTTATAGAGGAGAGTATGAAGCAAAGCTGCAATTCCCAGGGGTGGGGAGCTCAAACTAAAAACCTTTCATAGTAGGGAAATGGATATTTTCTGGAATGACACAATTTCTAGATAATTGATGTTGTCTTTGTAGATGTTACCACAAATTAGAACAAACATAAGAATGAAAGGACAGCAATTAAAAGAAAAAATAATTTTAGTTTAAAATTGCAAGTAAAAATTGTCAAGTATGAGAGAAGATGAACTTCAGATTAATAAGTAGTCTACCTCTGGTGGAATAATGTATTCTTCTGAATCCCATAAATGAATGCCGCCATACAGTGGAAAACTTTGGTTCGAAACATTAGTCAAGTTTGTAAGAGATGTTCCTTTCACTTTTGTGGTCACAGAACTGTACGGTATCTCTGTGTCTTGGTAACCTTTCTGGTATATTATAACATAGCTGAAAAAAATGTATTTCAAATTACTTATTGATAATAAATGTCCAAGAAAGCAGACCAAGATGAATGTAAGGATTTCGCTTTGGCCTCGCTTTCTGAACGACAAAATTTCTTTATGTGATGTGAAACAATTGCTGTAAAATTGGTATGTTCAGTAATGGATCACAGGTGAAGTCAATATGCAGTAAGAACAAAAGAGTGGCACATGAGGTGATAGCCGAGTGTGTCACTGATGTTCTTACCACATTTCGATGTCTTCAATGCTATATCACTGAACAGCCCATGGAATTTATCTGTTTACAATCTATCTGTTTATATCATATCATAGGGAAACAGAAAAAATGTTAATGGCGTAAATAATATTGATATATCTGTCCTGTCTGATCAAAAGTAAGAACCAACCAAAATGCGAGAACAGTTTGATTTACTATTATTACTGTTGTTGTTGTTAAAAAGTTATAATCATTACGTATATTATTATTATGTATTATTATCATTATCATTATCATTATCATTTCATTATCATTATTATGGATATTGGACATGACGGGTAGTGAATAATACAGAGGCTGTTCTTTATCTTGAAATTTCTAAGAAAAATCTGTTAAATAAAAAACACAAAATTTTGTGTAATAAACCCTATTAGGTGAGAGCATGATTAAAGTTGGTGAAGAATTCCCTCATGTTGAGAAAAAGGTTTACATCAACAACAAACCATCACAAGGTACATCTGTAAAGTTGTTTCTTCCCTTCCAAATTTGTGTATTTAAATGTGGAGTTTTAATTTCACAATAGCTGTAAATCCTGTGATCATTTTATGTACAGCTTGTAATCTTCAGTTTCGAGTTTAGTTTCACATTTTAATTTTATTTAGAGGAAGAAGTCTATGGATTTTAAAAATACTTTATTTATACTTGATGAATATTTGTGAATCCAACTATCCAAATAAGGTGTGTATTAACAGTGGGGGAGCCAGACTTTGAGCTAGGGGGGGNTGGAGACCAGGAGTGCCGCATGAATTAAATTATGAAGTTACATCACAGACATGCTTTGTTGCTCCCGCATCCAGCTGTCTCTGCATGGGGAGGAATGCTGACCAGACATGAGAGAACAGTGGAAATCTAGCCTACTTAGGAATTTCCAAGAGTATTATCAACACCCCCCATACCCTCTGGAAAATTTCATTTTGGCAAGAAAGTGTGTTAAAGTTAAAGTAAACACTCCAAATGCAAGGCTGTCAGAGTGCGTTGTACATCACTCCTGTCTACAGTATTCTCGATTGATTAGGGGGTGGCGAATGGTAAAATCCGAGACTTGCTGAGACGCCGAGACCGTTGTTTAAAAATTCAAGACCGAGACTTACACGATTTTGAAAAATCCGAGCCCAAGACTCAGTGCAGAGAAAACCGAGCCCGAGACCTTAACTATACAAAACTCCAAGCCTGAGACGTGAGATTCGTGCGCTCTTGGTTGCTTGAAACTGGATCTCATTTAGGGAAGTAGTCAAACCTAATATACAATCAATAACTTGTAGTTTATTTGAACTACCAAAATAGCAGTCAGGGATAAACGCTAACTATTTAGTTATGCATTAACATTTCGATCTTTTTACGGCCTATCATGACCCGACTTTCAACTACTTTCGAAGTCATGCGCTGTCATCAACTTCCAGTCAGCTAGCTTCAAAAATCACATAGCTTCTCATCGGCGATCATCCGTTAGTCTCTTGAGCTTACTACGCGATCTAACTTCAGCTGCTAAATATTGTTTGACCTTCCGTACTGGTTGATATAACTCATTATGGACGAGGAGAGGGTGGAGAATAAGAAACAGCAAAAACGCAAATGTAAGTAAACTGTTAACTTTGTAATTATTCATACATGATTATTCATGAAGACGCCCAGGCTTATTATTCTCGTGTCTTCAGAAAAAAAAGATGTATCTTGACTAGCTTTTGCTATTCGTAAGCATCCACGAAATGGATAAAAACCTAGGCTCAATACTGGAAGACGTTTGACTAGTGTTTGTAAGCTTTTGTAGATGAGCAGGCAGCACCACTGAAAATAAGCAGATGGCTGCAAAAAAACTGCATCGTTTGTTCAACTGACAGGTCTATGTGCTAAGGGAAGCTCACTGCATGTAAAATGTGGTATAAAAGTGAAGTCTTCACGTGTCAAGTGGCATAACATGCAAGGACGAGGAGTTTGACACGTGTTAACCCCTACTGAGCATTTTGTAAAGTTCCCTGACAGTTGGCAGATACCCATTTATACTCCTGGGTAGAGAGAGGCACTGTGAAAGTGGTGATCTGCACCGTTTACAAGGTTCTTTATAACGGGCCAAATGAAACAATAAAAAAATTAACAACAGGTTAACAACACAAACAATACCCCTTGCCCAAAGAACAAAAGAGTAGCAGATTAACAAGAATGAATCAAAATAGAGGTTCTAAAGAGGTGCAGGTCAACTGCTATGAAAGTAAAGACTAGTGTTTAGCTTGCTCTAGAAGGTGACACCACGCACGACTCACGAATGTGAAGTAACTTACCGCAAAGGACGAGGAGAGCAAAACGTTGGATTACCAAACACATGGTAAGAACACTACATAATGTAAGTAAAGCAAATTAAAAATAAAATATTGTGTTTGTTTTGCGAAATGGTTTTCTACAATAGCTTAGAATACACCGTCTTAGACATGCCGGTATATTCTAGACTACAATCGCACGTCCTTAGGCTAACCACTTATAAAATCTAAATCAAGTTACTTGAATTCTTTGACTTAATTGGCTAAAAATACAGTCCACTGACCATGTTTTCGTGCGATTTCAGCATCAAAGCGTGTACATGGTTATTGTCAGCAGAAACCTGATCAAATGAGCATGTGCACAGGCTGAGTGAATATAATAAGAGAAGCAAAGTAAAGAAAAGTAAAAGTTCCGTATTTCCCGCCGTTAGCGTAAACGCCATGCTTAATCTCAGCAACACTGACTGCTTGCTCAACGCGATACCTACCCAGAGAACCTCTGCTAAAAAGGCAAATCTGAGACTCCGAGACCTTGCGAAAAAAATTTGAGACTCCGAGACCAAAAGAAACACATGAAAAACGAGACTTCGTGACTCGTCAGGAAAACTTCCAAGATTTCGAGAACGCATCAAAAATTTCCGAGATCCACAATTTTCTGGGTACCATTCGCCACCCCTATTGATTGTAACATCTGAGGATATGTACTAAGAAAACATACAACAATTTATTAAACATGCTTTGCAGTAACAGCATTTCTACCTTAATAAAAAAAACTAATTTTCATGAAGGAAATTGATCGCCACTCGATTGATGTGAAAAGAACTAGGCTAGTCACCAGTACTTTTTGGTCCATAAGGTGACTTCATGTAGACTGGTAACATGAAATGGAAACCATGTCCATGAAACAGAAGGTTCTTCCCAATTGTTAGCTTCCAAATTGCTTTTTGAAGAAAGAAAACTTATTTCAAATTTAATGTGATTCAAATACAAGTATTCAGGCCACTATTTTTTCATGTGCAAGATCTACTTAGTAGGTAAGAAAGGATTTTTGAACAGCTAGATTGAATCTGTATGGAAATGATCGAAGGACATCTGGAAAATAAATTGACCATCCAACCCCCACCCCTCCGGAATTTCTTGGGTCTTTTAGCCTCCGCCCCTTTGGAATTTCCAATTCCCTCCGTGGTGGAGGTATGGATATTTTCGGAACTACACAATACACTATCATATTGGATGCAGCAAATGTTCCGGATATGAAGGAAAGGGCTGAAAGTACATAATAATCATTATTACAAACTAAATGTCGCCAGTTTGTGACAATTTCAGGAGAAAATCTTTGGAAAGGCTGAATTGGTGGAATGCTACTTTTGGGCTGAGAAGTTTCAAAATTGGATAACTCCAAGATTTTGATCATTTTAGGTTTGCATCTCTGTTTGTGGAACAACTTACCATGTCCATATTTGACTGGTTCCATGGCCGTACAATCACTGTCGTTAATACACTTCACATCAGAGAGTTCAGGGTCTTCTGGACATGTACCTTGTGTCTGATCAGGTGTAATGATCATGTTTGTCATCACAAAAAAAGCTCCATTTTCCTATGAGAAGAAATAGTCAGTTACATTTTGACAACTTCTAGGAAATGACAAATTCATAAAGGTGTGCCTTTGTCAAGTTTTAAATGACATTGAATCTAATCCTGTCTGTGCTTGACTTGTACAGCAATGGTATTGAACCCTCTCTCATACCATTGGATCTGCCAATCTCATTTCAGTGAGATGAGATTGGCAGAGGGATCTCTGCCAATAATATGGGTAAGAGATCTCATCTCACACCCATCCATGGTTAGCCTCAGTAACAGTCTAGTTAGCCTAAAAAGAACCTGAATTACCCCCCTCCCCAACCCCTGGAAAAAAGTTGTCATTACATGTAGTTAGCTTGCAGTTAGCCTTAGAGCCAGTATGGATTACTGGCTGGCATGGCTTGCTTGCTGTTAGCCTAAATAACACTCCTAATAGCCCATTAAATAGCACTCTGTTTAGCCTTACTTAGCCTAGGTAGCAAGTGGTGAGCCATTTTATTGGGGATAGAAATCCTGGCTTGCATGTGCACCATGCATGTCACCTATCTTACTCCCAAACCTATCCCACTAACCTGTACACACAATCCACTGTGTTCAACACTCATCCCACTGACTTTTACACTCATCCAACTGCCTTCCATGCCAATCCTACTGAATCCCTTTGCCTTCTATCCCACTGTTCCCAACACCCATTCCACCAACCAGCTGATTTCCACACCCATTCCACCTACTTAAACTGCCAAACCCTCATGCATCCCACTGACATTCACACCACTGATCAATCTGACCACTTGCCTGTGGACACCAACTTCCACACCCCTTTCATATTCTCTCACACCTACCCTATCCACTCTCACACCCGTCCCACCAAATCCCTTTGTCGTCCCACTTTGTGATTGTACTAATCACTGACTAAACTACTGAAATTCACTTCCATTCCATATGCTTCCACACCTACAGGTTTATACAGTGGAACCCCGCCCTACGGCCACCTTGTTAATACGGTCAATTTATTCTGATCCAAACAAAAGCTCAATATGGCCACCCCGTTAATACAGCCAGATTTTTGTGGCCCATTGGTGGCCGGTTTAACAGGGTTCCACTGTACCACTGAGCTGATACATCTCAGATCCCACTGACCCACATACCCTGTTCCCTAGCCAATGATCTTCACACTCATCCCCCCTGACCAACTAACCTTTAAATCTATCACACTGAATGCTCCCCCCCCACACACACAAAAAAGATCGCTGATCCATTCTCTTCCTTATCCTTGAAAGTTTCAGTGCATCAAGTGTAGTAATAAGTGATTGTATTTGACATAAAGAAGAATTTGCAGCTACAGAAAATATCCATATCTGCCTCAAGGAATATTACAAGAAATTCCAAGGGGGAGTGGGGTTTCAAAAGCCAAAATTTATAGAGGAGAGTATGAAGCAAAGCTGCAATTCCCAGGGGTGGGGAGCTCAAACTAAAAACCTTTCATAGTAGGGAAATGGATATTTTCTGGAATGACACAATTTCTAGATAATTGATGTTGTCTTTGTAGATGTTACCACAAATTAGAACAAACATAAGAATGAAAGGACAGCAATTAAAAGAAAAAATAATTTTAGTTTAAAATTGCAAGTAAAAATTGTCAAGTATGAGAGAAGATGAACTTCAGATTAATAAGTAGTCTACCTCTGGTGGAATAATGTATTCTTCTGAATCCCATAAATGAATGCCGCCATACAGTGGAAAACTTTGGTTCGAAACATTAGTCAAGTTTGTAAGAGATGTTCCTTTCACTTTTGTGGTCACAGAACTGTACGGTATCTCTGTGTCTTGGTAACCTTTCTGGTATATTATAACATAGCTGAAAAAAATGTATTTCAAATTACTTATTGATAATAAATGTCCAAGAAAGCAGACCAAGATGAATGTAAGGATTTCGCTTTGGCCTCGCTTTCTGAACGACAAAATTTCTTTATGTGATGTGAAACAATTGCTGTAAAATTGGTATGTTCAGTAATGGATCACAGGTGAAGTCAATATGCAGTAAGAACAAAAGAGTGGCACATGAGGTGATAGCCGAGTGTGTCACTGATGTTCTTACCACATTTCGATGTCTTCAATGCTATATCACTGAACAGCCCATGGAATTTATCTGTTTACAATCTATCTGTTTATATCATATCATAGGGAAACAGAAAAAATGTTAATGGCGTAAATAATATTGATATATCTGTCCTGTCTGATCAAAAGTAAGAACCAACCAAAATGCGAGAACAGTTTGATTTACTATTATTACTGTTGTTGTTGTTAAAAAGTTATAATCATTACGTATATTATTATTATGTATTATTATCATTATCATTATCATTATCATTATCATTATCATTATCATTTCATTATCATTATTATGGATATTGGACATGACGGGTAGTGAATAATACAGAGGCTGTTCTTTATCTTGAAATTTCTAAGAAAAATCTGTTAAATAAAAAACACAAAATTTTGTGTAATAAACCCTATTAGGTGAGAGCATGATTAAAGTTGGTGAAGAATTCCCTCATGTTGAGAAAAAGGTTTACATCAACAACAAACCATCACAAGGTACATCTGTAAAGTTGTTTCTTCCCTTCCAAATTTGTGTATTTAAATGTGGAGTTTTAATTTCACAATAGCTGTAAATCCTGTGATCATTTTATGTACAGCTTGTAATCTTCAGTTTCGAGTTTAGTTTCACATTTTAATTTTATTTAGAGGAAGAAGTCTATGGATTTTAAAAATACTTTATTTATACTTGATGAATATTTGTGAATCCAACTATCCAAATAAGGTGTGTATTAACAGTGGGGGAGCCAGACTTTGAGCTAGGGGGGGNATCGGGGGTCGGTTTTGTTTTACTTGCCCTGCCGGCTTTTCTTCCTTCAGTCATTTCTTCTTTTTTCACCCAAAAGAGAACTGATTAAAACTTTTAACTTTTCTTATGGCTTCAACAACAAATTTACGCGTGTTCAGTTTTAATTTAGAATGCAAGCCGAAGACAAGCTAAATCGTGAACAACAGTGTGGATTACTTTAAATCGGCAAAGGGATGTGAGCATAATCGAAGTATGTCAGCATAATTTTAACTGAAGACATCACATGAGTGCGTGATCATATGCCCTTCTGTACACAAGCCTCGGCAGAAGAGTTTTCGCTACTTACATGATGACGTAGCAGATTATAGTGAGTTGAATTAGTCTGTTGATGATACCGATTGTCTTGCTTTGAATGTGGACCACTTTGCTTGTATCGTACTCAAAAAGGGCTGTAGTTAGAGCCTTGCAAAAGCCAGCCATGTTGAAATCCGGAAGAGAATGTTCACTAGTTGAAGCTTGGTTACATAGCTATCAGGTCAAGCGAATGTCACGCGCGGCCCCACGTTTACTCCCAGGATAGCCTTGTATGGATGTCTGTCAATTTTTTTGCGGAATCGAAGTCGGTACTTTGCATTAACTCATGGCTATTTTAGAAGATTGCTTTATTGTTTCGCGAGCTTTTAATGTTTGTTTTATCACAGTAAAAACGAGTTATTGTCTTATTTCTCTCGAATCGATGTTCTTTGCAGATGGGTAGATTAGCAGCTAATTACGTTGTAACCTACTCAGTGGTAAACAGTAACTAAGTCAAGCAAAGTTCGCTACCTAAGGAGGTTCTAAGAGATCGGTTTATTTAAAGTTAAGTACATCGCATGTTTGATCCTACTAATGAAGGTAAAAAATCATGGATGACCATCGTAATTATACTTCAAGCCCCTTTGTTGCTCTAAAATATTTAACCCACATCTTTCAACTCAGTGGGTTATTCATACGTGATTTAGCAAACAAAGCCTTGTTTATCACGAATAAAATAACTCTCAGTAGGTCTTAGTATGAAGCTAAGGATTAGCGAGAGCTATCTGTTTAAGATTCACCTCAGACTAGCAGCAAGAAGAGTAGACCAAAAAGGTCTTTTAAGCGATTACTTCATATCTGTATCACAAGTGTCATGTGA